CTAAGCCGCCGCTATCGCTGCTGCTGCTGCTGCTGTTGCTGCTGCTGCTGCTGCTGCTGCTGCTGCTACTCCTTGGAGACCTCCTCGAAGTTTTGAACCAAGTCCGGCACTTCATCATCGTTGTCTCCATCCTTATCTTTGTTTTCATTTGCAGTTTGCTGCTGCAGTCGTTTGATAAGCTCTGGGGCGAGTGCTGCTGCTTCTCTTGCTGCAGCAGCACGAGCAGATAGGATCCCCAGTGTATTCTCTCTATCTTCTGCTGTCCCAGTTAAAATATACATATTTGCTGCTGGTGCTGCCTGCACTTTAGGATTCTTAAAGAAGAGAGCTCTACCGTTGTTCTGCAGCAAATGTACTTCTTCTACTCCGAAGATTGAAGCAGCACCTAACTTCTTTGCTGTCTGCTGCAGCTTCTTCTCATCCCCTACACCTCCTGCTGCTCTATGTACCTTTGCTGCTTTTCTTCTTGCTGTCCCTTTACCCCCTAGCTGCTGAGCACCAAGTTTCTCTCGCAGCCTTGCTCTAGCAGCTAGAACAGCGGGGCTTATCTCCTCGTCCATCGTCAGCATTGCTGCAGCAGCAGCAGCAGCAGCAGCAGCAGCTAAAGAGAAACTAGAAGAGCCTGCAGCTAGAAGAATTAACGGAATGTAACAGAAAAACCAGCAGCTGAAGCTGCTAGTGCTGCAGCAGCTGAAGCAGCAGCAGCAGCAGCAGAAGCAGCAGCAACGCCCGGTAGCAGCAGCGGGAGCAGCAGCAAAAAGAAATAAGATATTGATGGAGAGATAAACAGACAGGTAAATAAGAAAAACAAACAAAAACAGAAGGTGCTGTTGCTGCAGCGAAAGATGCAGCAGCAAACAAAGGATACTGCAGCAACCAGCAGTAGCAGCAGCAGCAGCAGCAGCGAGGCAGAGACACGCAGCAAGCTGCAGCAGAAAAGAGTATTCACCTAAATAGACAAAACAAACAAACAAACAAAAACCCCTAAACCAGCAAACAACACACCATCTGTACATACACCCCAAGGCCGTTCAACTCGCTGCTGCTGCAGCCAGCATCAACGTGGGGCAACCAAACCGTGGCTGCTGCAGCTGCTGCTGCAGCTGCTGCTGATGCTGCTGCTGCTGCAGTGCTAGAGCTTCACCAAAGAAGAATAAACCTATTATTAAATATATTTTGCTTTATTTTTATTTTTATTTTTCAATTAATAATTATAAAAAACATATTTACCCCCTTCATAGCAAACACTCGGCTGCTGCTCACGCCCCACACGCAGCAGCAGCAGCAGCAGCAGCAGCAGCAGCAGCAGCAGCGGGTTGTTTTGGTGGTGCTGCTGCAGCAGATTAATGCAGCAGCTGCAAATAAATAAATAATATATTAATTGAGTAGTCAGTTGAATATAAATAAAAAAGTAAAAGACGTAACGCAACAAACAAAGACAGAAAAATATATTTTTTTATGCATTTCTCTGCTGTACCCACTTTGCTGTCTAATTAATTAATAGGTGTATTTATTTATTTGTTTATATCTTCTATTTATTTATTTGTTTACTTATTTATTTATTTAATCAATTGTTTGTTTCTTTGTTTGTTTGCTTGCTTGCTTGTTTGTTTGTTTGTTTGTTTGTTTGTGTGCTGTCTTCTTTGTTTATTTATAAATATATTTTATTTATTTATTTTATTTGTTTGTTTGTTTGTTTATTTGTTATTATTTCTTAAATTTATTTGTTTATTTGTTTGTATCCCGCTCGGCTGTCTCCTCGGCTTAGCTTTCACTTGCTTTCGCATGCATCTTTATTGTTATTAGTATTGTTCTTCTTAATATTATTAATATTATTATTATTATTATTAATATTATTATTATCAGCATCTCTATCAGTATTATTATTATTATTAATATTATTGGTAGTAATATCATTAATAGATTTGTGCATTTATATACATTTACGTATATAAATACATACATAAATATATATATATATATATATAATATACATATATATACATATATCTATATGTACGTATACTTATGTGCATGTATATATATATATATGCACACACATATACATGTATACGTATATATATATATATATAATATACGCCTATCTATACGCGAATATATGTATACATATGCATATACATATGCATATGTTTATATATGCATATATATAAACATATATATTTACATGTGTATATATAGATATATATATGTATATATATATTTATATATTGTAATAAATATCTGCTGCAGTCGGTGGTGCGAAGAGCGGTGTTAACACGCGAGCGAAAAACAGCAGAGGACAAAACACAAAAAAAATTAAATTAAAATTAAATTAAAATTAATAAATTAAATTATTTAAATTAAATATAACTCAAATTGTATTAAAAATACCCCAACATATATATGTATATACATATATATATATATATACATATA